AACACAACCACTGTTATTTTTAAATGCTGGCAATCCAGACTGAGAATACTGAATATGTTTAGCACGTTATAACAGACCATAAAGTGAGAGAGCAGTGTTATTTCATCTTCAGCTCTTCTCACAGAGCATTTTTCTTCGCATCATATCCTCTGGCCTGTTTCTGTCTACCCGGCTCGTTCTCCGCGGTGACTCATCTTTCCCGCTACATCCCTCTTCTCTTATGATTTTAGAAAGTGTTTTTCTGTATTGACACTGCGATACAATGCAACATTGATGTCTGCATGTTTTGAAGTTGAAACAGAGGGCGTTCAAATTTTAGACAACCCCTCCCTTGCCAGCTTCCCATCCCCCGTTACATATTTTGTCTTCCTTTTAACGATGATAAAAACATCCCGCCCCCTCCCCTCCACCTCTCTTGGTCTCTTTACCATCTCCTTCTACCCTTTTTTCTCCTTAATCTGATATTTATTGTCCTGTAATCACAGACATTAGGACCGGAGAATGGGGAGGATATTGATCTGTGTTTTCTCTGTGTTTAGTAATGGGCTCTCCGGCCTCAGTGGTTTTCCTCGTCCTGCTAATTTCACATCCGCTTGCAGGGTAGGAACCCTGCACAACCACAGGCAGATTTATAAAGGAACAAAGTGCACCGAGTTTGCAGTAATGCTGAATCTAATGTTGGTTTTACTGACAAGCACTCATCGTCATAGTGCAAAGGCACATCTAGAAACCATAAATCGCGTTTTAAAGCTTGTCTGCGGTTTCCACTATTTTCTTGTTCAGGACAATAAAATTCCAAATGAAAAATTTCTTTAGGTCTTCACAAATATGACACACCACTTCAAGTGGTGCTGTTAGCATTGTATGTCGTGTCGAAAATGTGTTCCTATAGCACAGAATACATGTTTATGACACTAAAAGAAACTGAGGAAAGATCCTGCTTACAGCCGATTTTAAAGAAAAAAATCTGAACTCTAACAGAGTTATGTGTTCATCATTAGTTACCATGGTGATCGAGCTAAATAAAAAAGAGAGAGCCACCTTTGGGTGACTTTTAAACTCATCACAGAGGCCACTAACCATTAATATCACTTTCTTCAATAGAACTCTGGTCTCTTTGCATAATTTTACTACCTGCCTTTATTAGTTCTTATCTGTGTTTGATTTGCTACAACTGTTCCCAATTAGCCAGTCAGACTTCCTTTTATAACCCTGGTGCAATACTTCCTGTTGCAAGCGTGCCATATTCACACCAGTCGAGCTTTTCCAACTACTGCCTACAATTTCTTATTGTCCCTGTACTATTCTTTGTTTTCACAGTGAATGACACCTAGGACTGTTTCTGGATTTTGCCTGCCGCTCACTTTAATTGTCTGCTTCGCTGTCTGATCTACTGTTAATGACCCACAGCTGGCTGGATTAAAGCTTTTGATTTTGAACTGTGATACATGGCATCAACTAAACTTCTGTTCTGCAAACTAGTGCAAAAAATCTGAGAAAGTTTCAAAAATCCTAAAAACTAACATTATGGCTACGTTCACACTGCAGGTCTTAATGCTCAATTCCGATTTTTTGATCAAACCGATTTTTTTGTCTGCTTGTTCACACTACAGATAAAATGCGACAGCAAACTTGCTCTAGTGTGAACGCTCAAAGCGGCCCGCATGTGCAAAAGAAAACGCCACACACAACGCGCTCTGTTTAGACCCAGAGCAAACAGTATTGTTTGACTGATGGCCCTTAATATAAAGACTTCGGACTTCACGTTTCCCAATTTTTGCTTTAAGTTATTTTGTTATTTACATAATAATGTAAATAACCTAATAATTATCCTTATTGCTGTTTTAGAGGAGCGGTGCTTCAAAGGATAGTTGCAGATTTCTGTCAGAATCTGCAGATTATACAGTACAAATAAAATGTTCACGTTGTCTTTCCAACAGTTTCACTGACATCCACACTGGATGGCCAGGAAGCGTTCGCGATGTCTTCTCCGGCGCTGATAATTAGCGTCTGTCTTGTGTCAGTGACGTAAAAGACGGATTTAATGCGACTTGACCGTTCAAACAGCAGTCGCTTTCTAAAACATCAGATATGTATCGGATTCAGGACCACATACAAAAGTGACCCAGATCGGATTTGAAAATATCGGATTTGTGCCGTTCACACTGTCACACCATGATCGGATATGGGTCGCATAGGGTCAAAAAAATCAGATTTGATACGCTTTCGCCTGCAGTGTGAACGTAGCCTATGTCTTAAATGTAAGCAGTCAGAAATTTTCATGGTTCAAGCACTTAAAATCTCTTAAAGTACTTTTCTTCTAAATAAACGAGCTTTACATTCAGTCTTATTGAGAGAACGACACAGTGTGTATGACTGAAATCTAAGTACAGCTTTGAATGTCTTTTTAAAAAACACACATTATGATATATTTTTAAATGCAGCATTGATGAGAGCCATGTTTACATGCTGTGTATTAAATCAACCTCCTACATGCCTGCATGTGCACACCACAGACTCTGAACCTGCTCACTAAATGGCATCTCTGTTGTGCTACCCCACATCAAATCAGGAAACCTGTCAGAATAAATTATCCACGAAGTGTCTCAGAACTGAAAAAATAGACTTTGTCTCAAAAGCTTTGAAAAATGTATCAGAATATAATGAACTTTTAGGTCCATTAATCTGGTATTTTAATGTAAATTCTGGTCATGTGTATATCTCGTTATTGACAGTGGAAGGCTGAGTGAAGATTATAAAGATAAAATTATTTTCTATTTTTGGACAATGTATTGGTCAGAGATGCTTATGCAGCACTCTGGTACTGCCTTATATGGATTTATTTTGTGTTGTGCCCGTGGCCTAAGCCCACTTGTATATGCAGTATATTCCAAATGTACATCAGGTTACAGTGAAAATATAAGAAGCACTCGGAGACTGCAAACCTCCGCCAAGGCACCTCACTCTCTGGGCAGTATTTACTTTTTAGGGAATAGCATTGTATTTTGTATACAAACATTATTTTGGAGTAGATGATGGATAATAGGTATTCATTTGTAGATAACTGGACATGAATAACTTGAGATTATTATGTATTATTATACTGCAACACTTGTCTGGGCAGCTCATTCTCTTTGTGATGACAATACTTTATTTCTACTAATTTTGAGGCCAACCTGAAAAAAGGGCTGATGTGAAATGTAAAAGTGATATCACAGATAAAAACTGTGACATTCAGATGCAGATTATAATGTGATATTTAAAATCCCCATATGTGAGCATGACTACCTAAACCATAGGTGTCAAACTCTGGCCCGCGGGCCAGAGTTGGCCCGCAGCCTAATTACATTTGGCCCACGAAGCCATACCAAATTACTATTAGAGCTGGCCTACTGGCATTATAC